CTACGAAGAATACAGTAGTGGCTGCTTATGATAAGGTATTGCTTGTTGATGTTGTGGATACTACACCTACTGGTACTAATGCTTGGGAACGTGCTAAACAGGAGTATGCTGATCTCATCAACAGGGCTGAGAGCTTGATCATAGCCAACATGAGGGATACTCTTGGCAATGCTGCTACTACCAAGGATATGTTCCGGGCTTTCGCCAAGTTCAACCCTCTCTTCTTCAGACTGCGTATTAGGAGTGCAGTATTGGAATATCAGAACTCACTATTGAGTAAGGTTAAAGTGGACATATTCGATCTACAAGAGGCATTCAAGAAGGGCTTTGAGGGATCTGGTACCGAGACCATGCTCCTTCAGAGAGGGATACCTGCTCTAAGTGCTAAGATTATGTGGGCTAAGCAGATCAGTCGAAGGCTTACTACACTCATCAACCAAGTGGCTTCAGTTCTAGGCCCTACTTGGGATAAGCATATCGATGGTCAGAGGATCAAAGAGGAGTGTGACTTCTTTGCCAAGAAGCTAGACACCAGTCGTCTATTCGAGAGCTGGGTTAAGCAAGCTAGAAGTGTATCTATAGACTGGGGTGCCCGAGTATTGGCCATTCATAAGGCTAGGAATGGATCATTAGCTCTACACATGAACTTTGATGCTGATATCCTTGATCTCTGCCAAGAGATTGCTTACTTGGAGAGTCTACATTTCCAGATACCATTTGCTGTGAAGGTGAAAGGTGAGGAGATAAGGAAGATCTATCCCCTTTCGGTGACCTTAAGGGAGTGTGCCGAGACCTACATGTCTCTAGGGACTAAGCTCTCTCAGCAACCTCAAGTAGCCTCGCTGCTCGCTGCTTATCATGCTAAGGTTCAACATGCTCTAGCATCAGCGTATGATGTTGGTTGGGATGATATCGAAGGTGTGTACTCCTATACAGCAGATGTGAGTGATTTGGTATTCTCATTCCAAGATCGTTGGACTGAGGTCCTACGTATGGTGAATCGTATTGATGATCTAGTGGATGACCAACTACCCTGTACCCACATGGTCGATGGTCTACCATACCAGACGGACGCTGATGACCTTTACATAACAGCCAATTCTACCCTTATTACTGGAGGACGTGACCAACAACAACATGAGCATGGGGTGCTGCATAACTATGTGGATGAGGTTCTGGCTATCTTTGGTAAGGTACAGAAGATAGTTGATGATCTCAATCTAGCTGGATGCTCCAATCTCCGCCTTTACGTATCTGAGCTCAACGCTAGACTAGAGGCCAGACTACGCATGGAGTTCTCTGCAGTTGTGGGTATATGGGTCGATGAGTTCGAGGATTGGCCTCATAATGGTACCAGAGTTATACCTGAGAATAGTATTTCCGTACACGAGCTGCTCATGCTCCAAGAAGGGTCTAATACGCGTCTTGTACTCAAGCCAAGCATTGAGGAGGTAAGGGCCGGGCTCATGGAGAAGCTTTCAATCCTTCTAGCCAAGCTATGCCACTTCCCTAGGATTCGGTCTGGACGTTATGATAATGTTACGGTATCTGCTAAGAAGAATGCTATAGACAATGGAGGAAGAGGAACTTGTTCATCGTTCATGAATTTGGTCAACACCCATCCAGATGACCAGGCTTTAAGCCAAGCTTATGAGATCATTGACTCTACCATGGCTCGTATGGCTACTTATGTTCATGATTGGCAGAAGTATGAAGCTCTATGGAGGGCGGAGCCTTCCGCACTATTCAACGAGCTAGGGGACGATATTGAGGCATGGCAACAACTCTTGACCGATATCAGGGTCGCTAGGGCCGGTGTCGATGCTGCTAGGGATACTGAGACCTTCGGTCCAATAGCGATTGACTTTAGTCCAATACAGGAACAGGTACTCCATAAGTATGACCAGTGGCAGAGG